ATGTCCGGCCTCAGCGTGGGCTCCGCGGCGGCTGCCAGGATCTCGTCCAGCTTCTCTGCACAGCCGTAAGATACCAGCTCAGCACCGCTCTGCCTCCAGCCCACCTGTGTCCCCACAGGTGAGCCGACACCCGGCACAATGGCCACTGGGACCACCTGTCCTCTGGCCCCTTACCACCTGAGGCTCAGCTGGGACCCCAAGCTGAGGTCCGTGTCTCACAACCCATTCAAGTCCCTCTCACCCCAGACCTGAGACACCACCCAGACCAGCCTCTCTGTCCCTTGGAAACTCCAGGGAATCTGTGGGGCCCATTGCAAGAAAGGCTGTTCTGACTGACCCCCAAGGAGAGGGTCAGGGTAGGAGACAGAGCACTCAAGAGGCCAGTCTTCCTGAATCTGCTCCTCCCTTTACCATCATACACTCAGCATGTGGCCTGCTCCCGTCTGTCCCCATCTACCACCGCACAGGACATGACCTATCCCCTTGCCCTCAACAGACCCTGAGGTACAAGCAGGAGTCCATGAAGAATGTCTGAATGGGTGAGTGAGTCAATAATGAATGAACAGCTAGATGGGGCACACTTTCTGAAAAGGCTGCTGCCTCAGATTAGGGACTTTAAAAATGGGATAACACAAAACAGGTCAAAGAACCTTTTTTCTTTGCCTTAAGTAAAAGCAGGCCCACCCCGACTGGAAGATGCTAAAACAAAAAAGGAAGTAGGGAGGTGGTGCTGGAAAGGCCCTTCCTTCAGTCTCTCAGGGAGCAGCAGGAGCCAGAGGGGGGTCAGCACGGCTGGCGCCTAGGCAAGACCAAGAGGGTACAGGAACCAGGAAGGTCTCACCAAGCAGGCCCAAGCATGGAACTTTAAATCCTTCATCTAAACTAACAAGAAATCAAAACAGCTTTTTTTGGTTTGCTTAATTTTACTAAAATAAAATCAGTGTTCTTTAAATTTTTATTTACTTATTTATTTAAATTTTGCTATAGGGAATGTGCACATCCCTCAGGGAGGATGGCCACACTCCTTCATTCTCTTCTCAGGGTTCTGGGTGCACACACGCATGCCCTGGGTATATTTTTCAAGCTGCCAGGTCCAGGACTTGAACCATGCTATCAGCCATGTGGGATCCAGCTGCCTTAACCTCTACACCACTGGCTGGCCCTAAAAATGGTAATTTTGATTTGCCAAATGATATGGAAGTTTTACTAAACTAACAAGTATCAAGACTGTCAGAGCTCTGCTCAACTACTCTCCCAGGAAGTCAGTGGCTCTTGCCACTGGTGGGTCCACTCAGCCCATCCCAGAGCCCACTAAGGACCTGTGAGTGGGCACGCAGTGGGAGCAAGAACACACGTGTGTCCTCACTGCAACGCCACCCTCTGCATCCACACTCCCCGGCCCTTCCTGGCTTTTTGGGACTGCCAACCCTAGGGAGCCATAAGCTTGGTCAAGCTGGTCCTGGCCACTTTTACTCTCCAAGGGCCTCTCACTGGATAATGTCTGTGGTTGGTCTCAATACCAACTTCCTCTCCAACCCGCTGCAAGAGTAAACCAACTCGCCTGAGAGGCCCTATTCCCAGCTCAGACCTGACCCAGCCTGGTGCTGACTGCCCTGACCTAACATCTTTGACTTAGTGTCCTTGTCTGATACAACAGGCATAAAAAAGCTCCCACCCCCACGTCCGCAGTGACAAATGCACATGAGACGTGAGGGCCCTTGGAAGAAGGGACCAAATCCCCTTGCCCTCAGTGGCATAGCCAAACACATAGAAATGCGAGTGGACAGTCTGCCGGCCTGTGCAGGGCAGCCAGCACCACAGGTGGTGGGGCCCAGTACATCCAAGCGTTGCTGGTTTGAGGGCTCTCTCCTCATCGGCTTTTTTATTTTTAAAAAAGAATTCTTTTGTTTAACTTCATTTATTTTAATTTGACCAGAAAGAGACAGAATGAGAGAGAAAGCAAGACACGAGATCTGGGACTCAACCATGGTCAGCCATGTGGGAGTCCAGCACCCTTAATCACTACACCACCTGCTGGCCCCGCTCCTCATCTGCTCTTGTGATGAAGTCAGTCAGTCCCTTTTAGAAGCAGAAATCACCGTTGCTCCTCTTGTTAAGAGCACATGGCTCTCCTCTCACCCATAGCAATCACCTAAAGGGCTTCTCAGTGCCCTCACTTTACCCGGGAGGAAACGGGAGCTCAGAAAGAGATAAACTGCCCAAGATCACAGATCTAGGAGAGATGAGACCTAGCCACTACACAATTCAGAAGCCACAGGAAACATGAGCAGAGAGCACAACCGTTCGTATGGGACACATGCAGCAAGTCACTTCACTAGATGGGCTGCTACCTGAGCTGGTAGTCTAGGAGGTTGCCTCTCCAGGTACAGGGCAGAGCGAGCCCAGACACCCCAAGTTTAACGAGCAAGTCTCTGGTCATGCCCACTGGTAAGGCATGGGCAGCTTCCAAAAGGAGGTCAAGAATTCTGCAAATTACAGGCTGATGAGGTTAACATGGATCCCCCAACAAAAGAAGAAAATATAGTCTTTTTTTTTTTTGGAGAGGTTTTTGCTATAAAGTGTGTGCGCTCACCAGACAGTGAGACAGCGACAGAAAGCGAGAAATCATCCCCCAGGAGGGATGGCCACACCACAATCCCTTCTCCTCTTGGGATCTACAGCACGCACACACACGCGCCCGGTGTGAGTTTAAGCCACCGGGTCTGGGACTCAAATTGTGGAAAACTACATGGGAGTCCAGCGACATAGCCATAACGCCAACTACCAGTCCCAAGAAAATATATTCTTAAAGAATATATTTCAAAGGGGAAAACAAAGTCCATTAGGAACCACAGCTGGGCACTGGAACTCACATACTGTATGCCTAATGGGACCTGGCAGGACCTACAGCTGTTTGACCAACAGGGCCATGTTGGCAGGGACGAGGGTCCTGCTGGGGAGACAATGCACCCCTCACTCCTATGCAGTGGGAGAAGGACATGGGCCACTGCGAGGCACCCTGGAAGGCCCACTAATGAGCTGAAGGCAGGGCCAGAATGTTCCAAAAACAGCTGTGTCTGCACCAAAGGTATGGGAAAACAGTTCCTGGAGGGGACCTTGTCACCTGATCCTAGCTGTGAAAGACCCTGGGAGAGCACTTTCCCTGGGCCTGAGGCAAGGGGGGGGGGGCACTTCACAGGGCCAAGGAGGCAGACTGCAGGCCACACAGGGCCAGGAGGGCCCAACAGACACCTGTGTCCTGGCTGCAACGCCAGCCCTCTCATTTAGTGGTGCCGCTGCGCCCCCAGCCCCAGGACTTTCTTGGCTCTGAATTGCAGACATGGGGCCACAGGCGACCTAGGCTTCTTCTGGGACCTGACTCCCATCTACTGAAGATGCAGAGGATGCTGGTGGAGGCTTCAGTGCCAGGCCCAAACCAGGTGACTCTGCCCAATTTGGACAGGTGTCTCTTGCATTAAGGCCAGACACACAGGACCTATGGGGAACAGCCTCAGAGGATCCAGGGGGTGGGCCTGAGAGAAGATGGGTAGGCAGGATGCAAGTGTCCCCCCAGCGCTGTGGGATGCCAAGCCCTGCTTTGAAGGCGCTGTCAGCCCCAGTCGTGGCCCTGCGAGCAGTTGGCACTAAGTGGGCCCAGGACAGGCAGTCTGAGACCACCACCCTGGCGAAGGCTGAGCACCCTCTCTCCCTGAAGTCCTTGGGGGCACCTCAGAACCCTTCCTCCCAGCTCCAGCCACAGCACTTGTGGTGCCTTCCACCGGGGTCTCTTGGTTCTTCCTCATCAGGCTGCCACCTCCAAGACTCACAAGCCCCAGCTCGCAGAATCCCCAAGGCTTCCGGTCATGCCCTTGGGAACACCCTGCCTGTCCCCAGGCCCTTCTACCACTTCCCTTCCAGATGCCCGGGGAGAAGGCCAATGAGGCATGGCCTGGAAGGAACTGGGGTCTCCTCACACACCAGCACTCCCAGACAAGGTAAGGAAAGCCGGGGCCCTGGGACACGGGTAAGTGACTCACCCCCTTTTCTTCTCCGGATGGAGGCTTGGAATCAAAACAGAGCACAGGGGTAAGCAGCACCATCCCCCAGCTCTGGCCCACCCCACCCCCACAAGCAGCCCTTCCACATCTACCTGCTGCACGCCTACCAGACCACAAGCAGCAGCCCTGCCCAGACCCTGGTACACTGGGACACGGCGTGAAATTCGAGAGGAAACACCACAAGCAAGGACACGCACCTGTGCACCTACGTGTGAGCGCACACACACACCCATATCCAGTCACACTTGCTCACACACCTGTGCACCCACATGTGTGAGTACATATACACACTGCATGTCTGCTCAGTCACATGCACATGCACCTGTGCACCTACGTGTGAGCGCACACACCCATATCCAGTCACACTTGCACGCATACCTGTGCACCCACGTATATGAGCGTACATACACACCACACGTACACTCAGTCACATGCACACACCTACCTGTGCACCTACATGTGTGAGCACACTCCCATGTCCAGTCACACTTGCACACACACCTGTGCATGTGAGTGCACACACATCCACATGTTGACTCACTCACACATACCTGTGCACCTATGTGTGAGAGTGCACACACGCCCCCACATGTCCACTCACACTAACGCACACACTTGTCCACCTACATACATGTGAGTGCACACTCCTTCATGCCCACTCAGTCATACTCACACACACCTATGCACCTATGTGTGTAAGCACACACACACACCCCGCATATCCACTCAGTCACACTCATGCACACACCTGTCCACCTACGTGAGTGCACACACCCATGCCCACTCATTCACACTCGCATACACACTTATGCACTCACGTGTGAGTACACACACACGCCACATGTCCACTCAGTCACACTCATGCACACACATACCCACTCACATACTCATATATACAGACCATGTGTCCACTCACACATTTGCAATCAGGCATACACACATATGTGTCCACTCACATACACACATATACACATACATGTCCATTCACACTCACACACACACATCCACTCACACATTCACTCATACACACATGCTTGTGTGATGTGTGTCCACTCACACATTCACTCGTGCAAACACATGCTGCATGTCCACACATACAAATGTATGTCCACTCACTCATATGTGTACACACATGCACATGCCACATATACACAACATGCACGCACTGTGTGACCACACACACATGCACATGCATGCACATGTCCACACACAGGCACATGTAGAGACGTGCACAACTAAACCACACTCAATTCAGTCACGGGTTTGTTCAGAAAAAGGCAAAAACCCATGAAAACCAAGTTCAGAGGTCACTGAAAGGTGCGGTGGTCACCCCTGAGCATTCTGCCCAACACAAGTTCAAACGAAAGACAGGGCAAGCGTGTCTGGCAGAGAAAACTTTTCCAGATTGAGGCCAGTCACAGGAACACCGTCCCTGACACTCTCATCCTGAGAGAGACCTGGAAACCACAGGGAAGCCTAAGTTTCTCTCGGGAAAAGAAACAGATAGGAGGGACTTGGACCCACCAGGTCCCCTCCCCCCAAGACCTGTGGCCCAGCATGTTCCTGGTTCAAGCCTACAGAAGTGTGTGGGATGGCCGTGAGTGCGAGGGACCTGGGTGGGGTACTGCCTTACACCTCCTTCCATGCCAGTCTCAGGAGGGGGGTCCCTCCCCAAGCCCTCCTCTCACTCCCATTTCTAACACCAAAACCTTGTATGTACCAGCACAGAACTGTGCTCGCACCACCCTGCCCACCTCGACCTGCAGGACTTCGCCTCTCCCACGCTCACCAAGTCTTCAGTCACCTCACACTTCCTTCTCTTCCTAGTGCCTGGGTCATTTCCACAGACTAAGGATTCCAAGATCTCCATCAGCTCTTGGCAGTGTGACTGGCGGGTTGAAATGTTTATGCAGGGAATGGCCCAACAGGACTTACTTCTACTTCGGAAAAGCACAGATTCTGATTGTAGGGTGGTCCCTTAAGTACCATGGGAAATCCTGGTGCTAGATTGAACTCCTCAAATCAGGTATTCCCAGAGAAGTCTGGGTCAGGAAGCTGGTAAGTGGGCTGGCTTCCTGGGACTGCTATCCTCTGGGGACAGGGCAGTTTCCCCAGCTCCAGGCAGCCTGGGCCCTTCTCTGAAGAGAGCAACATGGCTTTGCAAAACCACACTGTATGCTATACAGCTGTACAACAACTAAATATAAATAAGAAATCAAGCATTTTTTAAAGAGAACAACACAAAGAGCACCAGGTTCAGCATCAAAGCTGTGACCCCTCACCCAGAAGTGTGGCCAGAGGCTCTGTACTGAGCTACCATTTCCTGCTCCCCAGTCTCTGCAGGGCAAAGTCTGGAGAACCAATGCTGGCCTGAAACTGTGAGTGAGCTCTGCTGAAAGACACGGGCCCACAGAGCAACCCCAACAGCCCTTTCTTGAGGCTGCTGTAGTACAGGGAATGCCCAGAGCAGAGCAGACAGGGAGAGAGTTTCTGCAGACAGAAAAGCCCCAAGAGTGGAAGCTGGGATAGTCCCTGGGTGCTAGGACTCCAGACCTCAGGCTGCCCAAAAGCTGAACATGGCTGTGACAGCCTCTGGCAAGAGACTCCAAGGTCCTACTCACCAGAACACCAGAACTCTGGCCTGTGTCCAGCCAGACCCAGTTACCTGCTGGCCTTGGCTTATTGATCCATCTGACCCTCAATCACCATGACAAGTCAGCTCCTTGCGACTGACCTGGGACCCTTACACTGGGGCCAGATGTCTGCTAGATTCTCGGCCTCTCTTGAGTGAGTGGGCCGAGCTGGGTATGTGACTCTAGGTGGAGTAGCATTTGGGTTCAAAACGCTGAAGTTATTGTTCCATCGTCTTCTGCCATCTACTATTGCTGATAAGAAGTCTGCAGTCAGCAAAACCATCACTCCTCCTTTTCAAATCATCTTGCTTCTCTCTCTGGTAGTTTTTAAGATTTTTCCATTTGTTCATGGTGTTCTGAAGTTTTGTTATTATAGACCTATAGATACAGATTTATTTCCTTGCTTGGGATTTATACATCTTCAAACTGAAGTCTTCAGTCTTTGCTCTGTTTTGGAGTCAAACATTGTCTCTTCCCCATTCTTTTTATTCTTTCTTTATCCATTCAGTAGACACTAGGTTTTTTTTTTTTTTTTTTTTGAGAGATTTTCACTGTAGGGCGCGTGCGCTCGCCAGACAGACAGAGAGAGACATAGAGACAGAAAGCGAGAAATCACCCCCCAGGGGGGATGGTCACGCCGCAATCCCTTCTCCTCCATTCTCCTCTCGGGATCTTGGGCACGCACGCACACGCGCCCGGCGTGAGTTTTAAGCCACCGGGTCCGGGACGCGAACCGCGGTCGACTACGTGGGAATCCAGCGACATAGCCATTACGCTAACTGCTGGTTCCCGTAGACACTAGGATCTTATAACTAGTCTTTTAATTGCTACTGGATGTTTTGCATCTCCTTATCTTTCTTACTTCATTCTTGGTAACCTCCTCTGTCCAGTCATTATTATGCTTTTTTCATCTCAGTGACAATAATTTTTGTTTCAATAACAGTTCTTTAGGGATCCATTTAAAATGTGCTTACTCCTTTTTGGTTCTGGTCTGCTTTTTTTCATTAGTGGTTCTGCTAGTTCTCTTACACTTTGTAATAACTTAAACATATTATTTTATTGTCTCTCTATCATCCTTCTATGGCTTCCAGTTCTTTTGATGCTAATTCCAGTTCTTAGGCTTTGTTCTGGCTTCCCCACTTCCCACAGGTCTAGACCACATCTCCTGCCCTTGGAGCGGGGGCATCAGGCCCCACCCCCTTCTCACTGGACCTGTATCACAGGTCACAGGATCATCCTGGGCTCTTCTACTCCCCTGGCTTTGATTTCTGTCTCCATTTTCAAGACCTGGGGATCTTCTCCCTTTGTTTTAACTTGTCTGTCTGATTTAGTTTTATCTTAATTGATTCAGAGTATCTGTGGTAAAGAAAACCTTGACTGTCAGCACAGCCTACCTGGGAAGTTCTCCACACTGAACTAAACTGGAGTCGAAAGGAGCTGCTCAGCCCGTGGTGGGAACAGTGTCATGGCTCAGCTATGAATCAGGATCATGTCCTTCCTGCGGCCAGAACTTGTCCAGGGATCAGATTAGGACCAGAATCAGGGTGCCTTCTATGACTAGGACACAGCTGAGTCTGGCGGGTAGGACTGAGCTCAGCCATAGAAGGGAAGAACATGTCATCAACCACATGTACTGGGACATGTGTGATGAGCCTACTGACAATCACATATGTCAAGATAAGCCACAGTGAGGCTGTTAGTGGCCAACCTGAGTCTGGCCCCACATGTGCCCATCAAAGCCGCACACACTTGTTCACCTCCTGTAGCTCACAAGGCTCCTGACAGTCTGCCACCATGCCAGTCATGCTCATGTGGCCCTGTGAGGTCAGTAGCTCTCTTGACCAAGAGCATAAACAAACACAAAACAACACAGCTAGTGCCAGGCTGGGCCAGAGGAGATCCCAGATCACCTGACTGTGGCTCTTCTCTCACACAGATGAAATGCATGCATGAAGGGAGCACATGTACACACACGCACATGCACACACTGGTGAGTCAGGCCCCATAACCCAGTCACCCACCACCCAGCTACCTGACTCGCTTGTATGTCCGTCTTCCTCCCCCCCAGCTCAGGACTTCTGGCTTCCACACTGTCTGCATGCCCCTCAGTCTGGCCCCTGGGCTGTCCACCCACCGTCTACCTCCGTGCTCACCGAGTTCCTCGAGCTCGGCCGTCATGGACTTGGAACGCAGGGTCAGAGTGGTGCTGGGGGCCCTCTTAGGGGGCGGCGGGGCTGCAAAGAAGAGGGAGGCCTTGGCCCTCCTATCCAGCAGCAGGCGGCGCGGTGTGGCCAGGTGCAGGTGCCACTTGCGCTCCACCGCCTGGATCTCCTCGTACTCCCGCGAGGACGAGTCGCACTGTGCCAGGATCTTGTTCAGGCTACGGCTGGACGCAAACTTCTTCATGGCGCTGGGGGCTCAGGGAGGGCCTTGGGGGCCCGGGACCCCTGGAGCCAGGGCCTCGGGAGGTAGTCAAGGGCACTGGTGGGGGTCCCAGTGCTGGCTGGCTCTGTCCTGAGCACCCACCCTGTAGGCTCTGAAGCCTGAGTGATGCACCTGAGCCATGAGGTGGGGCTGGAGGGGATTCCAAGCAAGCCAGGCTCCTGCCACTCCAGGGCTCCCCCAATCCCACCTCGGGTGGCCACAAGCCCTTGGGGGGCCAGGCCTGGGTTAGGCCAGGCCAGCAAGGCCTCCTGGGCCGGCTGTGCCGTGTCGTCGCGGGGAGAAGACGCTTTCCTCTTCCCTCAGGAGCCGCCTCCCCCTTCCCTCCGACAATAAGCAGC